GAGCGGTCGAGAAGTCGAGTCGAGCGGAGCTGTGGACGATGACCGTTGAACGCCGACGGCGAGGGGCGTGGCCGACGTCCGCCGCGAGCGAAGCGCAGCGGGAAGAAGAAATGTGGCGCGAAACCCGCCACAATACAATTGTATTATATTTCTGTAGACAATTTTCTATGGATAATACTGATAAATGTTTGTGAAAATAAGAGATAAGATGGTAAAAATATGATAAGAGCATAAGGCCGCAATTACTCTATGGGCCACAGCCATCTTGCGGACGTTTGGCGTTTTTTCTCCCTAGAGGCTTGTCCAAAACATATGTTACTAAAGCGTACATTGTTAAAGAACCTTATGGAAACCGTGTTCTCCGATTGACTCTAATCCCAACGAGATAATAATTTTAGTTATTGTTTCATAATTAAATACATTATTCTATAATATATGCTACATAACACATTTAAACACGAAGAGCTCTCATTAGACGAAAATAAATAAATTATAAAATTTGAGATACACATAACATTCATCGATCTCGGAAAATAAACAAAAAAAAACCCACGAAAATAAAAACTAAATTTTAGTTATTTTTAGGGTTTTTGCTTACAAAATTGTAATTATTATTGTATTTTTCGTACAAAACCCGTGTACAGTATTTTGTCTATTTTTTACCAAAAAATCATAAATTTTTTTTAGGTAGGATACATGCCATACTCCGTGCTACGAAAGAAGTAACCCGTGTCTTGACAAAATTGCGTTCGAATTCACGCATCCCTCACTTATTTGACATACCGTCGTTGCACAATCACAATCGTTAACGGTCGAAATGATGTATAGCAGGTATCATTAGTCATTACGTACACTTGATACAGTATGTCAATGCGTCTGTGCCACTACTCGCGATTACTTTCACTCCGTTAACTGTTTAATGATTTGTTCTACACGTGATATACGATATTATAAATAACATTATAATATAATCACTCTATATATCACTTATTATACGCTGTATGCACGTTACACCGCGAACTGTAGGGGAAAAAGTGGGGGAAACGGAGCCTAGTAACGCTCTCTGCCGTCAGTCAGCATGCGTGAAACGGATTATTTCTCTCGTGGTGCGGATTTAATTTATACATGTAACCAATGATAAACCATTGCGAAAGATTTGAAGCGAAGTTCGGTGATACATATTTAAAAGGCCGTTTCTACAGAAAAGTAAAATAAATAAAAATAGACTAATTTAATAATATAATAAAACACAAACTGATTACAAACTGATAATGAAATTGTTATCTCGTTGGAATTAGAGCCAATCGTAGAACACGATTTCCATAGGCTTCTCTAACAATATACGCTTTGCTTATTGGCGTCCAAAACACGCTTTATGTCAAATATATTACCTACTTATTGTTGATTGTAATAATTGCAGTTTGTTTAGTATATTATTGATTATCAATAATTATTTATTTTAACTTTGATATACATTTCTTATATCAAATATTTACTTTTCTGAATGAATTTGGACTTTTGTTATAATTCTTGATAAAGAATAATAACGTATTTTCCGAGGTAATTGATATTTATTAATTTGTATAATTTACTTAACTAACCTTGTTTGATATTTTTACCATGTGACTTAGATGTCAAGTATTATATTAATTATTTAACCACTATTTAAATATTCTAGAATGGCACAAACTAGGCGTATCCCAATATATGGTTCACGACCACCTTGTGCATATCAATCTCGTCTTGATGAACATAATGCACAATTGAAAGCAGCTCGAAAGGAGAGATCAAAAAAATATAATAATCCAGATGATTTTGTATGCTATGAAGATTCTGATGATGAAGAAAGTACAATGTCATTGAGTACTATGTTAAATTCTTCGTACAATTTTGTTGACTATGTAAGAAACAGAGAGTATGGAATGCGACAGTATCATTCAGTAAATCAAAATCATGGTACCCGACATATCTTGACAAATAATTTATTAAAAGAACAACTTATACCATTAGACACAATGAATAGAGTTTTTTGTTCACAGTGGCTTAGTAGTAAACAAATTATCTTTGGAACAAAATGTAATAATGTAAGTAAAACCGGTGCAGTTTTCTTACATTAAGCTTTTTAATGTTTAAATTAAAATAATTCTAATGTTTTTCTTTTATTAATAACATAATATAATGAATAGATTCAATTGATATTAGCCTACTTATTTACTATTAACTTATTAAAGTAATAGATATCTACAGCTAAACTAATTTATTTTTTATTTAGTAAATATTATTTATTAAGTAAGTTTTTGTTTCAATTAGTGTCTAAAATTAAGGCAAATGACAAATGTATGTGGTTCTCTGTTAATCATGACCTTGTTAACATCAGTTGCGCCAAATAGTAATTGTATTGACCCATCAAATTTTAGAATTTTCACGCTGTCAAAAGACAAAAAAAAAGAGAAAAGTGACATTACTTCAATTTAAAATAAGGATAATTTTTTATCACTTATCAAGTTCAAGTCTATAACCCTGAGCCTGCAGTTCAATCTCATATTATTTTGTTTTGTGCTTCTTTGTTTTTTATTAATCTGCAATCTTTTTAACTAATCCATTGAAATCATATGTGCATCAGATCATGTACTTACCACTTTAATACCTAGGATATATTTAAATCACTTTTTCTATTTTTAGTTAATGGTTTATAATGTTAATTCACACAAGCTGGACCAAATACCATTAATTAAAGGACGTTATGATGATTTAGAAAATCAACTAACTGGTATTCATTCAATAAAAATAAACCCATCTAGGTCGTTATTAGCTACAGGTGCATATAATTCAAATGAAATTGCTATATATAGATTGCCCACATTAGATCCAATTGTTTTAGCCGAGGTATAATTGAATTTTAACTTATATTTTTGTTTTAAATTTTTTATTTATTTAAATTAATATTTCATTAGGGCGCTCACACAGATTGGATGTTTGACATAGAATGGTTGGATAATGAATTTTTTGTCAGTGTATCTCGCGACACCAAGCTTGCACTATGGCAAATTCAAAATCAATATGAAGAACAGTATGATACTGTTGGTGATTTTACACAACCAGTCACTCAGTTTCTTAGCCCAACAGTAATAAAACGCTGTAAAACAGCAGAAAAAGTCAGTACAATATTATTCAATAAGAATTTGAAAGAATTGATTGCATTATCATTAAATGGATATGTTCATATTTGGGATGTTGAACGATTTAAACAAGTGATTAAAAATTTAATATATTTTACATTATTACTTACAATAGTTCTAATTTTTTTAAATTCATTGTTTTAAAATTTTCAAATATTGAAATGAAATAATATTACTTTGGCCATAAGTGAATAAGTAAATATTTATATTCTTAACAAAAAACATATTTGGTTAATATGATTAATGTTAAAAATAAATATAAATATTAAATGATAGAAAATGTAATGTTCAATGTTAATATTGAGTTATATATCAAATGTGTAGATTGTAGTAGATCAAACAATGTAGGCACCTGTTAAACAAACAGCTCACACAAATTCATCCCTTAACAATCAGTATTTTTGTTGACAAAACTGAACTTTTTAACTTTTATTTTGAAAAGTTTGTTAATGTTTTTTTTGTGGACATTTAAACTAAAAATACTAATTTTTCAGTAATAATTAAGCTTGGTTAGCAAGCGCCTCACAGGTGTATACGAGGCAAATATTTTGCAAATGTATCTGCTGATGCAAAAATTCAGAATTATAGAATACATTTAACAATACTGAAAATATGACATTAATTTAAAATATGTATTTTATAAACTTTTTAGTTTAATAATAAATAATTTCCAATTTTGTATTATATTGATATATATTTTATATTCTGATTGGAGCGAAGAAGCTTATGGTTTTATAATATTTTTTTTTTCCGAGAATAACTTTTCTACCAGAAATCTTGCTCCAATTTTTATGTGTAGCACCTTTTCTGAAAGGAAATCAGATTGGAGAGGTATTTAAGAGAAGATATTTTTGATTTTTCAAGAGTTTTCTTCATAAATGGAAAAACACTATTAACTGAACTTTACTCAGAATCGGTTTTTCTTTAAAAATTGTTTATCATTGCCCACAGATATACATTAAATTTCTCCTCTACTACCCCCCCAACTTCTGACCTACAACAGTAGCCACACCCATATTTAAAGTATGTGAGTCTATTTTCATTATCCATTTTACTTTATAGAAATTTTCAAGAAGATTATCTTGTCAAGATAATGTTTGCATGGCAATGAAAAGTGACAGTAGTTTATATACTATAGGATGTCGTTCATTTACAATGCTATTTGATTCGAGAATGTTGCATATCACTAAAAAGATTCCTGCAAAATATAGTGGATGTGGTTTGTATATTTTAATGTTTTAAACATTATTTTTCATAATAAGTATATTTATTTAAATTTCAAACATCTTAAATTAATCTGCAAATCTATAATTTAATTTAATACAGTAGTGTTTTTTTTTTTTTTTTTTTTTTTGTTTATTTGTATAATTTAAAATGAGAAATTAATTTTTTTAAATAAGATAAGCTGTGCTTTACAAAATAATGGTAATATTTATAAACCAGTTTGTTGCTGGGATTGTAGGATTTGTGGGGTACCTCTTTATAGTGTAAACTGAATATAGTACCATGTCTACTTTACTATGATATGATTCAATATTGTTCAATAATCATTCAATAGCTTGGCTATAAATACTTTTCCTAATATTAATGGTTATTAAAACTATTGAGTTACAATTTAAATTTTTGTTAAATTTAAAAATAAAAAAACATCTTATAGAAATTAAATAATTCTATTTTAATTAATTTTATTATTTTAGGAATAAGATCTTTAAGTTTTCAAGATAATATAATCACAATTGGAACAGGTATTGGTGTTTTAATGTTCTATGATGTACGGGCTGAAAAATATTTAGAGACATCTAGTATTAACACAAATAAAGCAGTTGTATTAAAAACAAGTCAAGGTTATGTTGTGAGTGCTGTAATTTGTACACTTGGTATGCACTTGTTATCATATTACTTTATTTAATATTAAATTTTTAGCATCCCGATCAAGATATTGGTATTATGGAAGGAAATTTTCAACATGTGAAATATACACCAGCCATTTATACACATTGCTATGACTACTCAGGGACAAGATTATTTTCCGGAGGAGGACCATTGTCAACTGATTTATCTGGGAATTATGCTGGCTTATGGCAATAATATTATTGAAATGTATTATTTAAATCTAGTTAGAATTATTTTCATACTAAATTTCATACTATACTTACATGGAATAATTATTACAATATTTTGTGTGATATGCCTCGGATCATTAAAATTTTAGTACTAAATATTGAGTTTGACAATTATTTAAATTAATTGTGTCTATATGAGGTGTTCAATCTATCATAAGACATTCTATATCTCTGTAGTATAAAGAATTAACTTGTTTCGACATTTGTTTTAAAGAAAATTTTAGAAATAAGCAGCTCTGCAATTTTACTTTTTTTCTTTTCACTCTAATTTTTGGGGATGAAAGTACTATCTACATTTTATTTTCAATTGACAACCTATATTAAACATTCCATAAATAGGTGGAGTAGTAATTAAAATAAATTTTTGTGTTTAAATTTTTAATTTCCATCAATCTGTTGAGAGATATTTCACTTTTAAGTGTGGGTTGGGGATAAGTAGTGATATAGACACCGAACAAATGATCTACTACTCTTCCTTGACCCAAAATTAAAAGTATCTTGTTAATGAATTGATGAAAATTATAAATTTGAACACTAAAATTTATTTTAACTACTACATCTATTACTGGAATATTTAATATAGGTTGTTATTTTAAAATCAAAAATAAGTAATTGTTTTAACCCCTAAAATTAGGGTGACAAAAATTAATGTAAATATTAAATTTTATAACAACTTGGTTTTTTAAAGCAAATTTCAAAAAAAATTAACACTTTCTGAGATAATGATTTTGTTATGATAGATTGACCCAATATAATATTAAATATGCTATCAATTGATTAAATTAATTGAATACAAGGAACTGAACTTTTTTAATGTTAAAGTATTATGTTGTAGGAGAGAAACTAAGACTATATTTTGCTGGATAAAAGTTATTGATATAATTAAGCTAGTGAAACTAAACAAAATTTGTTTACTTATAATGTACTTCTACAGTTATCCTATACCAAGTTAAACATTTTCAAGAGGGTAGTTCATAGTTTCTGAATGGAACAAGGAATGTATTGGTTTAACAATTATGTTTATTTCTTTTTTTATGTGAACACTTTTTCTACTAGAAAGCATACTCTGATTATCAAGTATAGTACCTTTCCTGAAAGGAAATGCTTTGGTTTTTAAATTAAAAACAAGGCTTTAATATATTTTAACTATACCTACATTTCTTATATTTTCTCGTTTTTTGGTTTTTCAAATTTAATGAGAAAACTCCTGTATAAATCGAAAAATGACCTCTCTACAGTACCTCCCGAGTAAAATTTAATTTTATAAACATTGCTATCATTAAAAGTTAAAGCAAAATTTCTGGTAGAAAATTTTATTATTGGCAACCCGTTTTATTAATTTTTTGTTACTACTAAGTTTTTATCATTTTAATATTTTCTCAACAATCATTTTTGTCATGGAAACTCACATTGTTATAATCATTTTACCATAAGATGACATATATATTGTGGACAAAGCAATATTATCAACCACACTCCACTCAGAATCCTTTTTTTTGTTAGCAATGGTTTATCATAATGTCTGTATCATATCTTCCCAACTTCTTACCTACAACAGTGACAATACTCCACATGCGAAGTATGAACATAGTCCTTTTTATTTTTTATTTAGTTAGCTGAATAAATATAACATGAGCCAAATAAACATATAAGATCTTAATAATATTGTCTATAAAAATATCCTTACTCAATTTCTCATAAATTCATTATTTTCCAAGAAAGATAAAAGATGAAATATTTAATTTAATTTGCAAAATTAACTATTTTAGGTTTATTTAAATATAGTTAAACACAAAAGCTTAAACCATCTTTAACCTAGAAATGTTAGCACAAATTTCTAGAATTCCAATGAATACTGGTACATATACACAAGAATCAATTTCAACAACACATATTGTTCCCATAAGAAGTGAATGTGGCTACTAATAATTTAATTAGGCAATCTGTGGGATATGATACAACTAACTAAGGTTTACAATATAAATATCTTAAATGTAGTAAATAAATATATAAACAAAAAATGTATACAGGTTATCCCAAAAGGATTTGAAAAATGCAATAACTTGTTCTGTTAAATATTTTTGATATTCATTTTTTTTAGGGGTAGGGTGACTTAAAATAAAAAATTCAAAATAGCCATTTTAAAAATTGTTGGTGATTAAAACTTGTTAAAATATGGTTTTTGTGTATGACTGGTTTCGAATTAAAAGTTCATCATTAGGTGTATCACAGTCCAAATGTAAAACATGACTCATATTTGAGTGTGATTTTGATGAAGATACTTTAAGCAGAATGGTTGAAGATAAATTACATCAACTTGGGAATGATTTACAACTATTGGAACTTTCTGGACTGATTGGGATTTCCTTTGTTGTAAAATGAATCTAACACTTATTGATACGAGGATTAATATTAATATTTTATACAAAACCTTTAGGAGGCATTTTTGCCATTACTACTCATTAATTAATGTTAAACAACACACCAGCAAAATTACAATTTTGATCAAGATTCAATAGAAGTAAAAAATGAGTATGCAATAAAAAACAACAATAAGATATATCAGAACTTAAATTAATTTTTTTTTAAATCATGTAAATATAAACACATTAATACATACCCTATAGTTTATACACATGTATTATGATATAATTTATAAATGTTTAAGTGTTCAAAAACCAACTTATAAACCTTATAAAAAAATTTTTTTTTGTGTATTTTTTTCTACTTGTGTATTTTTTAAATTATTGTTTAATTTATTTTTAAAAATATAATTATTGCATACAATTATTTATATTGTATAAAAATTTAAGGTAGAAGTTTATTTGAATATTTTATACAAAATACTCAATACTAATATTTATACTCAATGTATACTTGTGTATAATAATTTTTGCATATCTAATTATATTTTTATTACAAATAGTAATCTGTAGTTTTATATAATATACCTATTTATAAATATTTATACTTTCAATTGTATGTTAAATTAACAAAATAATTGAACATGTTTAAAGTTGTTTTTTACATCCTGAAAATTGCAATACCTAATTGAATAATTATAAAATAACAGGTATTTAATCAGTATAACTTAGGTTTTTTTAAAAAACAATAATTTAACTGCAATATTATTTTAACGTTACTTATACGTATATATGAGACTAAGAAAATTTTTGAAATTGATTTTACATTTTTCACGAGGTTCATCATATTATTTCTTGGTAAAAAAAAAGTCTAGTGTAATACAGTCATTTTTTTTTTTAAAAATGTATAAAAAAACTTTGTTCAGAATTTTTAACAATTGTTTATTGTTATTTAACAAATACCTACAAATATATATTATGCGGTAATAATAATAAAAAGTCCAGAGTCAGTTTTATTGTTGAACAAAAAGTCTGAACACATTTTTAGTGTCTGAAAAGTCCAAAAATTCAAAATTTTCTATTAAATTTTTATTTATAATTATTATTAATTATATAGGTAGGTATATACTATGTATATATATATAATAGTCAAATAGTAGTTAAAAATTATTTCAAATGAATATAAATGAAAATATTTACAGTTATTGCTAGGATAACAGTATATCAATACCTATAACACAATCAGATTTTCTAATAACAATAATAAACAAACTAAAAGATTAAACTGCTTTTGATAGTGTATCTACTAAAATACTAATTGTACCATACATGTTAAACCTTTAACTTACATTTATAACCGAAGTATTACAAATAGTATTTTGCCTAAAATTTGGAAATTAGCAATTGTAAAACTTCTTTAAAAACGCAGATAAAACTTCTATTAATAATTACAAGCAAATCTCTATGCCGAGTAATTTTTTTAAAATATTTGAAAAAATTATTATAAGTAGATTTATGGCATTTCTAGAAGATAATAAACATTTTTCTCAAAATAAATTTGGTTTAGATCAGAGATAGGCACTTCATCGGAGAAGAAGCTTTGTACTGTGCAAACAAATTTATTACTGATGGCCAAATTTATAGACCATACTAAAAAAATATTTTAGATATATTCTAACTTAAAAGAGAAATTGGTATTAATAAACTTTACTAACAATTATTTCTAAGAAATGTTTAATTTATTTCTTAGATATAATCTTAAAAATTTACATTTACAAATAGTACTTAGGAATAATTTATAATTTATAACAATTACTTAAATGTCATTCTTATCAACGTCCAAGTTCTTTTAAGAATAAATTAACATCATAACCCGATAGATTATGCATCAATATTGGAATAAATTTAGGTAATTTATAATTCAAATTACATATAGAATCAGCAGCATCTCTGAATTTTCCTATTAAATGATCATGATCTCCTTTCTCATATTATTTTCGAATTTATCCTCTCTTTTTTATTCAAATTTCTTATCAAATTTTTCATCATTTGGATCTAAATTCTTTAGCTATAAATAAATAAATAAATAATATTGTAAAACCAATAGCTTCCTCGCTATCCACGGAATCTAAAAATCAACATAATGTATTGTATAGGTAAGTGTGCAATACCTAATGTTGATCTGAAACTAATTATTAATTTTTCTTTCTGGATGACTCATATTAATACATTATTTTAAATTCTGAGTAGAGCAAAGAAGCTTATGCGTTTACAAAGATATTTATTTTTTTTTTTCTAACAGCGAACAACTTTTCTACCAGTAGATTTTATCAAATTTTTTAGTGTAGCACCTTTTCTGAAAGGAACTTTGTGTGGGGAGGTACTTTAAGCAGGTCATTTTTCGATTTTTCTAATAGTTTTCTCATCAAATTTGAAAAACCGGAAAAATATACGAAATGTATTACTAAAATTTTATGATATTTTTTTCCTATGCACAACTTTTCTACCACCAATTTTATTCCAACTTATAATGATAACAATGTTTAGCAATGATGGCAAAAGAAAAGTTCACTAGAGAGGTTCTTTAGAGACGTTATTTTTCAATTTTCCCAAGAGTTTTTAACAATATATATGTCATATTATAGTAAAATAAATAAATAGGCTTTACAATGTAATTTTTTTAATAATATTTGCTTAATGTTGTACTGGTTTTCCCATGTTTTCCCGGTTTTTCACATTTGGTTGGAAAAGTCTTGGGAAATACGAAAAATATTTTCCCTAAAGTACTTTCCCAGTCAAATTTCAAATTTCCTTTTAGAAAAATTGCTATCATTATAAATTGGAGCAATATTGCTGGTGGAAAAGTTGTTAATGTTTATTCCCCTAAACGTCATAAACACATTGAAATGATAGCAATGTTTCGTATCAATAGTTTTAGTAACTGGCTACGGTAGTAAATGGACTACGGTTAATATGTATTTAATAACTGTGATAACCGGTTTACAAAAACATTATCAAATTTTTTTTTTATTAATTGTTGAAAACCATGAACTATATAAAATATAACTTATATAAGTATATAAAAATATTATCTAAGTTGATGTTAACTACTGACAACTCGAAAATCATAATCATTACAATGATATTTTAAAATCAAATAAAAAATTTAAATCTTTTTTACATTGATTTTTAAAATCTGAAATTCGGAATGAATTTTGAACTTGGAAAATCCAAAGGATTTGAAATCATGCCTAACTCTGACTATATTATGATATATTCGGTTATATTATGAGAACAGTTAGTTTATTTCCGAACTTTTCTGATTGTGGTCGAAATATATCATACTTGTACGTCATTGGACGGTTCTTTGGGGTTTGATAGAAGGTATTATATAGGTACCTATATCTCCCCAGACCACGAAATTTTATCTTATCTTATCGACTATAGCTCGTTTATTTGGGAATAATCCGATTGTTTGTCGGTTGTGTTGTTTGTTTATTTATAAATTATAATGTACCTATATGTATTCCGTGTATCTATGGAAGAAAAAAAAATGTAGCGCCCGGGTAGTGATCTCTGCCTAGCTACCTTGACCAGGCTGACACTGGCCATAATCTATGTTTAAATAAAACAATTTGAGCTTTGAACTTGAGTATTTTTTCGTATAAAGGATTTTTAATATCAAATTTTGACGAAAATCGTTAGATTAAAAAATTAGGTGGAACGAATCTATGCATTGTATTATTATTCGTGAATATTATATTTACGTGATCTATAGATTAAATTGTTTTAAACATTTTTTTAAATTGATTTTATTGTTCTTTTAAGATGGTATACATATAATATGCCCGATATGATATATATTATATTTATAATAGTTTTTAAGAAATATCGTTATACAAATTATTTCAAAAATAAAAAATCTCAAATTTCAGGGGGGATAAAATACTGAATATATGTATGTATATCTAACTTTATGTAAATGCTGGTCTTGCAGGAACTTATCTTCTTGCCAATTTATAGTCACTATCTTAATAGATAGATTATTCTATTGATTGTATTTGCGTAGGTACCTATCTATAATAATTTATATATAATCAAAAGGTTCTTAGTATTTGAGCTAGAGTTAAAGACCATAGTTATCCATATTTACGTTGTAATATTGTTAAAAAATATGATGGACAAATACATTGTTTTCATTTAAGTATATAAAATAACTAAAATAAAAATGTAAAGTGTTAGATTATTTTGTTAATAGATAATTTATAATTGCGATTATTCAAAAATTATTATTTGATTTGTTGCGAAATATTGTATTTAGTTAAAAGAAAAACAAATACGAGCACCAAATAAAAGCGTGATATTTTTTGGAGTGTTCGGTACCTAGGTACTCGTGGCTGATGATTTTACAATATAATTTCAGATATAGAAAATAATTTCAATCTTACTTTCATATCACGTTCCAAACCAGATAGGGACTTAGTTCATTAGTTAGCAAATAATGATATGAAAGTTCGTTTCGATATAATACAAAATTAGAATTAAGAAGAGACACGAATATCAACATTTGAATACGTTTTACCTGAAACGTAAAAACCTTATGATAATAACTTTTTAAAAAAAAATATTAAAAACCTTCAAAAGATGAATAATTTATACAACTTGGGTTTTAACATAGGAAAAAAAATTAAAGTTTAAAATAACGATAAAAACCATGATAGTTTTTCTTAAGATATTGCATTCTATTAGCTACACGGTAAAATATTTAAATAGTATTTTGTAATAGATTTATATTGCAGTATGTATTTTTGATTTTTCATATATTAGTCGATTGGATAATTTCTAAGAAAAACCAAATAATATAAATTATTTAAATATGCGAATTATTTGTGTTACCCAAGAAATATGGTTGAATTCATCAAATTAGTCTATATAATAATGAATTCAGTAGGAATAACGTAGTGTTCATCTTTTAAAAAAAAAGTCAAGACACATTTTCGCAATTATTAAAAGAAAGAAATGTATTGATTGTTAAAACAAAAAAAAATATAAATGTAATACTTATATACTATATATAATAATAACAAAATGTATAGAGTAATTATATAGAACATTAGTTTTTATGTCAAAATTTAATATTACAAATCATTTATAAGAAAAATACTACCTTAAGCCCAATTTTTTTTATTTACCACAAGTTACGGCTTTTAATAGATTTCCTGTTAACATTTTAAATATTTTTTTTATATTTCCTAACTGTTCGTTAGAAAACCGAGTAGTTTTTTGGACATTGAAGTACGTTTTCAATTCGTATTCATTCGGAAAAGCGGTCCGAAACGGCGAATAACCCGAAAAATAAATAGAAAAACGTCTAATATAATAATTATAACAATGATAAATATAATCAGGAAAAAAATTCGAAAAAGAAAAATTCGCAAAAAGAAAAAACGCAAAAAATATGACTGAGCAGGTGGCCGGATTATTCTTACGGAGCGTACAACGTCGATAGCGACGCCTGCGATTAAACTAGAAATCCTAAGCACCTAACCTAACCTACCTATCGACCTGACTACAGCGATTGTTGAAGAACGTATCGTTTTATGGGTATATAAATCGTGTTTCGATTGGATTAACTGAATACCGATTGTCTGATAAACCACAAATATTATTATTTTAATTGTATTTATGTTATTTTCGGTACTTTGTATAAAAATTCTTAGCAACTTTCGGTGTGTTTGGAAATTAATGAAATCGGCATCAAACTCTTAAATAATTTACGTGCTCGCATTTTCGGTTAAAAAATGTACCAAAATAGCGAAACATCTAAATAATATATTGAACTATAGGTTCATTTTTTTTATCGGTTCTTTAACCGAGCGTGTATGAAATTACGGTTAACAATCATGGCCTCTGAAAGTATTAAAACATAATTTCTGAACTGTTCAATTTTCGTTAGTTCGTTTGCACGTACTCAGCACCATCTAGTGTTAGAAAAATCGATCACGAACCGTGTATATTAGGTTTTTAATAACCGTGTTTACAAACATTCTGTGAATTAACCGTCGGTGTTAAAACACGTTCACTGAACTGCTTCATTTTCATCGATGCATTTGCACATTCTCAGCACCATTTAATATCGGTAAAACTATCCACGAACCATAATTTAATTTTGAATTTAAAAATTGCACCAAAACACAGTTCACACACTGTGGTTAAACTGTTAAAAATGTACGATTTATAGAAACCGACATTGAACAATAAAAATACTTCTCAAGAAAGTATAATTGTTTTTTTAGTACAGTAAGTGACGGGCTATAAAACTGCCAACACCACACTGCTTTGGTGTGCGTTGCGCCTTAAAAAGCTATTTAAAAGTGGAAAATCCCGTCAACAGATTAACGGAAATAAAAAATGTCAGCACCAAAATTTATTTTAACTAATACTCCATTTATTTATGGAATTTTTAATACAGGTTGCCATTTGAAAATCGAAAGTTGGTAGTGGTTTCATCCCTAAAAATAAAGATGACAAAAAATTGTAGAGCTGCTTTTTTCTTAAATATTCTAAAAAACCAATTCCAAAAAAAGTTAAAAAGTTCTGAGACAATGAGTTTACTCATTTCAATAGAACACTATGTACATATAATAATAATGTAATATATTATAAAGAAATTAACAATGTGCTTATAGATACAATTTTAATAGTCTGTTTATAGATTGTATACCTTTACAAATATACGCGTTGAGAATCTGAAACATGATATGTAACATAGCAATTTAATATCAAAATACTTGGAACTCTTCATTTTTTTGCAAAAATGTTTCTTCATATTCAAAACTCCTTATGATAAAATAAGTATCTAGGTAACTACTCGATTAGCTATACCCACTATCACACTTATAAAATATACATATCTTAACTTTATCTTTAGAAAAGAAGTGTAATACTTCAATTCAGATATATAAACCCTATTTATCAGTTCAATTCAGCTCTAGGTGTTATTCATTCGAGTAGAGCTGCCTGTCCGCAGACATCCTGTTTAAATAGTTTCTATTATTTTAAGTTAAAACCATGGCTAGGATTATACTTTCGTTTTTTGTAATTATTCTCAGTATTTACTTAACAGAACAAACCTACTTTTTAAAACAAGAATACATCGACAATATTAATCATGTTGCATCAACATGGAAAGTAAGTAATTGTAACTAGGTAAATATAAGTATTTAGAATATATACCTAGTTCCTAAAAAAATAATTCTATAATAATAAATAATTTTTCATAATATACAATGACTTAAATGTATACGTATATTTGTTTAAAAATGTTTTATCAAAAAATATGTTTAAAATGTTTAGGTATGGTGGTATAATGCAGTGTATAATAAATTAAATTTATATTATACTAGGACTGTTAATTTATTCCCGCTCCTCATATTCTATCCCCCATATTGTTTTTAAGTTATTGAATACTTAAACGAATATATTTAGTATTTAAAAATAACAAACTATATTAAGTTTTTAATTTACTTTATTTATTTATTCTTATAAATAACAAAATCTCATAGCATATTACGTCTACTTAAGATAGTGTATAATCTTTTATACAATATGTGGAGAGCCGGCCTTAAGTTGTAGCGAAGCCTGGAGCAATTTTTTTTTCAGAGGAGGCCTAAGAATTTTTTATGTATGTAATAAGTATTACATTATGTGTAATGTATTTACATAATTTAGTCTTTTTATTATTTTTTTTTTTTGAAATTAAATAATTAACAATACGTCATTATTAAAATTCTCGTTTTTAAATTTTATTAGTTTTTAACAGTCTTTAGTTACTATAATTATTACAAATTATTCATATAATAATTAATAATATAATGTAATTTATCATTACAAATTGATCGTAGAAATATTGAATGTTAAATTATTACTATATTCTACAAAAAGTTTACTTTTCTTTTTTTACTTCGCAAATTCATGTATTACATGCAGTTTAAGTTTGAACCTTTATTTTTTTCAAAGATAATTTTAGTGAAGTTATTCTTTATTGATAAATGGATTCTGAAAATCTTTTATGAATTACAATATTTCAATTGATTTATTAATTTCTTCAGGCATTATTTGTCTGAGAATTTTTAACTCAGAAAAAAGTTTTTGATAAAATTCTAAGAGAAATAAAATAGCCAGGCCAAATAAGTAGTTTTGTATCAACAAGATATAAATAGGTATCATAAATGTACTGTTCTGTGGTAAAATTAAAATTATTGATATTATATCGTGGCATTGAGTAATAAGACGTTAACTAGTAATGTACCTAAGTAAATATTAGTAAAATTAACTTTTACTACAAAACTAGGGAAATTTGAATTGAATAATAATTGCGTAATATATCACTATTCATTTCAACGTGAAGTTCACAGTTTGTAAAATATAATATTAGAATGCAGTGTTTAATTTTATTAACGTTGGGCCCAAATTTTCATATACATTTAAAAGGCCCGAGAGAGAGGCCCTAAAGTCTAAGGCCGGTTTTGAATTTGTATGAGCAATATGAGTAGGCATTCAGCCCATACGGGATATTATATCAATTTTTACCTCCAAGTACAAAATACATTTAGTATTTTTGAAAAAATAGTAGATAATTTGTTTTTACCTTTAGATACAATTTAAATGATTTTAATATTATTTATTTTTAACAAAATATTATAAGTACATTATTATATGTTTTTTTTTTTTTTGAAAATGCTATAAAGGAAATTTAATACTTAATACTTAAAATTAAAAATGCCAGTAAATATAATCTAAAATACTGCCCATCATCCAAAGGGTAATAGCATTTCTCAATCAAGTTTGATGATCATCGTCTTTCAATATATATTTGCTATATTTATAATTGTTAATGTCTATTTGTTGTAGGCTGGTATGAATTTCGATCCGGACACATCAGAAGAATATCTTACAGGACTATTGGGATCTAAAGGTGTTGTACGAGATGTCTCTAAAATAAAAAGCAGACTTAAAACACATGATTCAGCATATAAGACTAATATGAAAATCCCAAAATATTTTGACTCGAGATTATTTTGGCGCCATTGTACAACTATAGGCGAAGTTCGTGATCAAGGAAATTGTGGTTCGTGTTGGGTGAGTACTGAGTTTATATTTTAATAATAGTAGAAGCACTTCCAAAACATATAATATTATTTATTTTATTGTAAAATGTATAGGCATTTGGTACTACTGGAGCGTTCGCTGACAGATTGTGTATAGCGACCAACGGAGAATTTAATCAACTCATATCTGCCGAAGAATTAGCGTTTTGTTGTCATTTATGTGGTAACGGATGTAACGGAGGTTATCCAATCAAGGCTTGGACTTATTTCAAATACCACGGCATAGTATCAGGAGGAAATTACAATACAACCGATGTAAATAACATTTTATTTACTTTAAAACATTCAAAACACATCTTTTTCTATATTAGGGATGTCAACCGTATAAAATATCACCATGTCTACATCATGAAGAAGGGGAAACTGCTTGCGATAAAAGACCGATGGCTAAGAATCAGAAATGCATTAAAACTTGTTACGGCGACAATTCGCTTGACTACTCCAATGATCACAAATATAGTAATTAATTATTCACAGTTATAATGATTAAAATTAATAATTTATCAATACGTTTATAATATTTTGTCCGTGAATGTAGCTAGAGACGCATATAATCTGGCTTATGAAACTATTCAAAAAGACATAATAGCCTACGGACCGATTGAAGCATCGTTTGATGTATACGATGATTTTTTTAATTACAAAAGTGGTTAGTTTACTAATACAATATTAATAGTATAATGTTCATTTATAATATATATTTTAAGAATATTCTTTTTTCAACAGGAGTTTACGTAAAGAGCGAAAACGCAACATATAAAGGAGGACATGCAGTCAAATTGATCGGATGGGGTGTTGAGCATGGTGTAGATTACTGGCTGTTGGTTAATTCATGGGGTTATAAATGGGGAAACAATGGACTTTTCAAAATTCGCAGAGGTACAAATGAATGCGAAATTGACGATTCTACTACCGGAGGTGTTCCTGTCGTCTAAAAACATTGAATTATTGTCTATTATATTTTTTTACACCACCTGTCTAAAAATATCGTATGTTAATACTTTATTGTTGATATTATCATTGTAGCTTATTGTAAATGTAAAAATATATATTATTTTATTTATATAATCATACAGTTCTATAAAAAAATATTAGTTGTTGTAATGTACCTATAATATATTCACTATGAACGTAAAATTACAAACATCGTTGCCATTTAATATAATCAGAGCTGGCGATGTGAAATGTGCGACCCACCATGACTTACGTATTTTCCGAGAAAAAAATGAATAAATTAACATAAGGAGTAAATTATTGAAAATTTAAAAAATAATTTTAAGTAAAATATCACCGGGGAAAAATCTTATAAAATATTAAGTTGACAAAATCAGCATATTTCATTTACCAAAGAAAATGAAATTTATGGAAAAAGTATAGAAAATTATAAAAATTGTTTTTTAAACTTTTAAAATCCCTTTACTATTTTTGCTTTTTTAAATATTTTTTTAAGAGTTTTTTTTGCCATTTGTAAGCAGTTTTTGTGGTATTAAATGTATTTAAATCTGAGCCCTACTAATAATGAATATGGCTAATCGATGAACACTATAAACACTATATTATAATATTTGTTGACTAACCACTTTTGTAATTAAACAATTTTCGTATATACCGAACGTAGCTTCAATCGGTCCGTGAGTTATAATGTATTATAAACCAGATGATATACGTCTTTAGCTACAATATCGAACAATATTTTAAGTAAAATAAATTATTTATCGAAATCGTTATAACCACGATTTTTTAATTATTTCGTCTGTGATCACGTTTGTAATCAATCGATTCGTTACCGTTTTGGAACATTTTTGACTTACGTCATTCGGTTCTTTAAGGCACGAAATTTCCCTTATGTCGTGATGTATACATGTTGGTATTTTGTATGACTAAAATCACTAATATATACAGGTATGAAATGTGTAGTCAAAATGTTTTTAACGTTAAAGTGATTCGACTTATTTGATTATTGTAAAATGTCATTTACTTCGATTGTGTCGTTATTTCCTCCTGTGAAACATTTATATTACAATAAACATATATTGTACCATAAAACATAAAAAATAAGTCCAAGCTCTGATGGGTCAACCTCCGTATAACTTCCTACCACATAAACGAAAACAGAATGCCAATTCTTCAGCAGATAGGATTTAATTGAATTCTCCGTTGGTTGCAATAAACAATCTATCCGAGAAAGTTTCAGTAGTACAAAATACCTATATATTGTGTTCAAATAAAATACATATTTGTACATTTTTCGGGCGTATTATTATTATAATATATATTCACCTAACATGAGCCACAATTTCCTTGATCACGAACTTCGCCTATAATTGGATAATGCGGCCAAATTAATCTAGAGTCGAAATTTTCTAGAATTTCTATATCAGGAATATATATATATGTACATATATGTAATATGTATATATACATATATGGGATCATGTGTTTTAAGTTGGCCTTTAATTTTGGAGACATCTCGTACAATACGTTTGAATCCTAATAGTCTTTTGAGGTATTCTTCTGGTGTATTCGGATCGAAATTCACACCGGCCTATGTATTAAATATTCAGAATTAATTTTGTTTATAGCAATAAAACATTAAACTCGATTGACGTATTTTTGTTGTACACAATAGATCTAATACTAATATATGAATACTTTTGTACCTACAGGGTTTTCTTATTGACCACATCAAATTAGTATGAATACATAATTATAAACTATTTAATATTCTTTAATTTAAAATAGGCATATAAAGTAAATGGAAATATTAATATACCTGTTACCTGTACTTAGATTAAAATTAAAAAAAAGCTGTCCTAGGATAATGTGGACGGGTGCAGCCACTGTTATAGGTGAGAAGTTGGGAATGTATTAGAAGGAAAATTTAATGTATTTAAAGATAAACCATTTTTAATGAAAAAATGGTTCTGAGAGGAGTTCGGTTGATAGTGTTGCTTTATCAACAATGTATATGTCATATGGTAAAATAATTACATATATATTATATATTTCCTTTAATAATATTTGTTTAAAATGATGTACTTATTTTTCCTTAATATTTCTTGTGTTCAATAAACCAACGAATGTGAATTAATTGGATTTAATAGACAAAAAAACCATTTTACAGTAAATCAATTTTAATAGAAGTCAAGAGTTTATGAAAAAAGTATGAGATGATATAGATTTAGGATGTTTTACTAATTAATTAAAATATATTATATCAGCGGTTCCCAAACTTTTTAGTTGTGCGGACTACTAATTTTGTAAAAAAGACTTTGAGGCCCACTAAACTAATATACAGGTAAAAATAAAAACACCTATATATTATGCACGTATGACCAATATATGCATGTATATATATATGAGAACGCCACTGTCTAGAATACTAAATAAGAAAACGACAATCAATACAATAAATTGTATGATAGCGATAATTGTTTGATTATAATTAAATCTTGATTGAAATATAGACGTTTATAATAATATAAATAATATAGAATTTGCCAACCCTATTGGTTTATACCCTCGGTAAGCGTCTGTGGCCCAGTACCACGTTGTCCGAGGCCTACAAGTGGGCCGCGGCCCATGGGTTGAGAACCGCTGCATTATAGTATAGAATATTATTTTAATAATCTTTTTGCACAAATATGATTTTTTTAAATATTTGAATATAGTTCATTATACATAAGAAACACTTTTAATACCATAGATATTAAAAAAAAGGATATGTTTATTATTTGGGAACGAACATGAAAATAAAAATTATAGAGTTTTAACACAAATATATAATAGTATTAGGAGATGATAATAATAATAATAATATATTTTATTGTAACTAAACATATATACAATGAGCATATTCTTTTACATAAAAAGTTACTAAACCCCTGCAAGCTAATGCTTGTTATGGGGTTGAGAGTTCAATAATTTCTTTAAGTTTTTAAAATGTAAGATTTGCTACATTAAAAATTAAATAATTATAATCAATAACCAGAAAATATGAAAAAAAATGTACAATATAGTTAATATAGATGGCATAAAAAATTAAAAGCTATAACAATAAAAGTATAAAAATAAAGTATGTGTCTGTTCATTGGTTCAGACGTGCGTTTGTGGTTGTCTAATCACTTGTTTGTCGACCATTCTTAAAATAACGCATCGTTTTTACGCTTTCCGTCTTGGTTATTCTTGACTTTATTTTATTACTTTATTAATATATTAATTATTTTTAATAAAAAATGCGTGTACAGACTGGTGAGGTAATTAAAGCAATCTTCTTCAAATTCAAAAATCTTTCCCGTTTGGCCTGTTTACATACGACGTGTAATGGTATAATTATATTTTTATTATATCTAATCTTCAACTACGGGTAAGCGATAGGGTTGTTATATGATTAACAGCCGTCTTCATCGTTTCGAAATCTGCTTGTCTCAAGGCCGCCGACCGTCCGTCCATGACCATTAGAAGTTATTTGTATATTGTGCTGGTGAATAATTAATTGCCTACTTACACTGTTTAAGGCGTCTTACTACAAATTTTATTTCTCATATTATTATTATTTATTCTGCTATGTGTGCCATGACTATTGGTAATTCAGAATTATTTATAAATGAGTTCGGTAAAAGGGCTCATGCTAATTGATTTCATTTTAAATAAATCATTCCCTGTGAGCGTGAGAGTGAGTGATATGCCTATTACTGCATCGCAATGGTAACTCCATGGAGTCTAGCCCATTGGACAGCACAACCAACGTTGCGTCTATATTACATTCAGTTGTCTTTGAGCTCAAAAATATTTCTGATAGTAATCGGTTGATGAATACGAAACTAAATAGTATTGTGATCCCTAGTTGCGTTGTCAACTCTTCCATTGGTACTTTTCCTTAAGCTGATAAGCTTATACCACTTATATTCTCAGCGGTCTCAGCTACGAATAAAAGCATAGTAATTATGACTGACCATTATAAATTAATTGTTGAATCTGGTAGAAATTCTTTTACTGACTTAGCTACTGATTCCTTTTAGAAATATTCGGATTTGTTGTCTCGCGGTTTTACAGTGACACAGATGGTCACTAAATATCCAACGTATGCATTGTTCCATATCCACTTGCCGATCGATAAACTCCACGATCTACTTGAACCTACATAATAGAATTATCGTTAAGAGATTCTGGCGTTGTCTTCGTCCGTATATGATTTTCGATGGGAATTTATAAAACTAATTAACCATGATGCCCTGTTATCACTAGGCTTCTACCAAAACTATAAGGGTCTCAGAACTAAACTATTATGTTTTAAATTTAATGTATCTTTATTTAATTATATTTTTATCTGTCTATCCGAAACATGGTTATCTGATAGTTTTTTTGATAACGAATTAGATTTAACTAATTATGCTGTATTTAGATGTGACCGTAATAATTATACTAGTATTTTTTCTAGAGGTGGTGGTGTTCTTATTGCCATTATTGAGAATGGCAATAAGAACATATATGATATTGTTTGTGAGTTACTACCTTCCTTAGTTAATGGTGTTGAACATTTATTTGTTAAATCCCTTGTCCAAAATGTTACCTTTGTTATATGTTCTGTTTATATTCCTCCTAACAGCCCTGTTCCTATTTATGAGTCTTTCCAACAGCTGTGCAATTTGTTATTTCTTCCTACCCAGGCTGTGTATTTATAATTTGTGGCAAATTGAATTTCTTTGATATTTTATGATCTTATAACGACTACGGTCTCTGCTACTCGTCTTCCGGTCCTAGAGTCCAATACATTTCCGATGTATTTGTTTTAAATAACTTTTTTCAGCTAAATGAGATTTCTAATAATTTTGGTGGTCTTCTTGATCTCGTGTTCCCTAATAACACCAACGTTTTAGTAGAGAAATCAGAAGTTTTCTCTGTTCCACGTGTTCCTTATCAGCCTGTACTTTTAATTAAGTTTTCTAAAAATTGTGATATTTCTCCTCTTGATAACTCTCAAAAATATTTTAACTTTTGTCGTGCATGTTATCCCAAAATACTTTCTTTTCTTACGTCCTTTAACTGGTTTGAAATCATTAAATCTCTTAT